AAAGAAAGAAAGAAAGAAAGAAAGAAAGAAAGAAAGAAAGAAAGAAAGAAAAAGAATTAACAGCACCTGCTCGGCTAATATTTTTATTATTCTCGGCTTATATTTACTTATTCTTGCTGGCTTTATATTTTGTTCATTTTGCTTCATGTTTCATAAGTTGATAGAGAATTAAATTTTGTTAGCAGTAGGTTGGATTTCTCTTGCCATGACCAGGACTGAGTATTTTTCAAATGTGTGATCATGGTTATTTGTCTTTCTCAATTATTTTGTCTTTTGAACTCTTGTCGGAAATGATTGTCTATTCTTTCTAAATTTTTATTTAATAATGTTTGGTCTCTTTAACCATTAATTTTGTGAGCATGTTTTCATGAATGGCATTTGCATTTTAATGCTGAGATTTCAATATTCACATAAACAAATCTGGTAAATTTTAATTGTTTTGGTCAGTACTTATAATCTCTGAAATTTATCAGATTTATTCTTTGCCACAGTTTCATTGTATTTTAGATGTAAAATTGTTTTTTTCTAACTCAGGAATAATATCATGACATTTAACCTTAGGAGGTTCATCTCTGGGTGAGCCTACTTGCAAGTCTCACTTTTGTTGAAACACTGTTTTATATTTCTTCTTTCTTTCTTCAGCGTTGCCATCTAATACTTTACTGACTATATACAAATTGCAGAGCCGATGCAGACAGATCTATATTTGCTTAGAGCAGTGTTTCCCAACCTTCCTAGTACCGAGACCCATTACAGGTAGGACAGATATAGGTTAACGCTTTGTGGCTAGGTTGGTGTCCATGATTCTCTTTCTGTTCAGTTTCCATAAGTTTGTAAGCTTTCTGTTGTTTCTGTTGTTGATATCCAGCTTTAAATTGTGGTGGTATGATAAGATGCAGGGAATTACTTAATTCTTTTTTTTTTTCATATCTGTTGAAACTTACTTTGTGTGAATGATGTAGTTAATTTTGGAGAAAGTTCCATGAAGTGCAAAGAAGAAGGTATACTTTTTTGTGTTTGGGTGGAATGTTCTGTAGATATCTGTCAGGTCCATTTGGTTTACAACATCACTTATCTACAGTATTTCTCTGTTTAATTTTTGTCTGCATGACTTGTCCTTTGGTGAGAGTGGGTCTTAATATCTCCCAATATCACCATGCGGGGCAAAATGTGATTTAAGATATAGT